CTGGTGGTGGTTACAGGTATCTGAGATGTCTCGCAACATCTGAGACCAGAAGCATTTTGTCAGTAAATTCACAGCTTACGATGAAAAGCTTGCCTTAAACATTGGCGCACACGTGGATTTCCAGCTCATGGACTCTCCTGTTCAGCTTTAATTTTAAAAAGCATATATTTACACGATTAATGTCGATATACCATATTTATGTAGAGTGGGACATAGGGGTATCTAAAAAGCAGTTTTCTGTTAATAAAAAAAAAAGAAAAAGCTGTTCTGCCCGCTGTCAGTTGGCACAGAATGACTTGTTCCTCTCTTTTCTTTCTCCTAGGTGCAGCAGCAGTATTTTCTCATGGGAAGAGTCATTTGGGGCGGCACATGCTGCCTGCTAATAGCAGTTCAGACTAATTTTTGTATCAAGTCCATGATGGGAAGTAAGCCGTGGGGTCCCCCTGAAGTTTAATTGAGTGCTCATTAAGGCAAAATGGCTTTCACACCGTCTCACTTCTTAACCACGATGCTTACCGATCGCTTTGTTTTACGCCCCTCCCCTGTACCGTAGCGCGAGTCCTGTGTTGAAGCCCCGTGTGGCAGTGTCCTGCTGTAGTGGTGTCGGGCCGGTTTTTTAATAAATCTTTTTGTACGAACCTGCTGTGAGTCTGGGGCACCGGGAGGGAAAGGGAGAGCCAGCGCTGCCTTTTGGGGCCGGAGAGCGAGCTGCAAGCCGGGGGGTGCGGAGGAGGGGGAACTGCTGAAACTTCCCAAAAGCCTAAGCCCTCCATTCTCTGATGGAAAACAGAGGCTCAAGTGCTGTGGTTCAGCACTCAGAAAAGTAACCAAGTCCTTTCTTTTTTTCTGCTTGAAAATGGAGACTAAGCACTGCATTTTCACAGGAGGAAAGTGGGGACTATCGCTGCGTTTCAGGGTCCTGAAACCAAGCTCTGGGAAATGCTTTTTGGGGGCTCCAAAAGCAAGGCCCCATGCAATGGTGGTGAAGCCTGGCCAAAGACCCAGTGCTGTGTTTTCAGTGCCTGAAAGCAGAGGCTCAGTCCTGTGCTGGTGGACCTCAGAAAGTGGCTCCACGCCCCGTTTTGGGGACCAGGCAGGCAAGGGAATGGGGTGGGCATGCAGTCCCTAACCAGAGGTGGGGGTCTGGTCACGTTGGGCCCTGGCAATAAGTGAGCTGGAGCTTGAATTAGTTCAGAACAAGGATGAGCTTTTATTGAAGCAGACCTTCACTTACCTTGTAAGCAGCCCCAGTCATCTTACACTGAAACAAGGTCGAGCGCCCAGCTGTGGAAGCTTAAGATCAGCCGTGAGGTAGACTGGAGCTTCAGGGCGGTGGGATTGCGCACCTAACCTGAGCTGTGGAAAGAGCTGAAATAGGTTGGAGCTGCCGCTGACCACAGGAGGTACAAGGCAGGGCACCTGTGATCCAGCACGCCCACTAGCTGGAGCTGCAGCACCACTGGAGCACCCTTTAGATGGGGCTGGGACGGCACCAAAACCCAGGGGCTGAGGCTGAGCAGCACAGGCATGGCCACAGAGCGGCGTCCTGGGGCAGTGACCTCCTCCGTGCCTGTGAAGGAACAAAAGCAGTCGGACAGAGGTGCAGGGGGCACAGCGCTGCCCGACAGACGCCCAGCCCCTTCCAGCCTCATTTCTATGAAGAAAGCTGCTGCAGCAGGAGCCCCAGGCATGCCTGGTCAGCTCAGCAGGGAGTGAGACATCCTTGGTGAGCACGGAATAGAGAATGACCATCAAACACGCACTTATTTTCCCAGTAGCCTGGTTTGTCATCAATCAGGATTAACTGATCAACACTCTCCTACAGCCCCTTAGGTATTAGCACCTACGTGGTATAGAAATAATTCAATATTTACACAAGAGGAGCTGCTCTGCAGATCTCCAGGACAGGCGGGATCCTCTCGGGGGACGCCTGCTGATGGTGGATGCGGTCACAGACATCATCCAGTGATGAGAAGCTTTTCTGTCTTCAGCTGTCCCAGTCCTGGGAGCGGTCTGATCTGTGCCAGACTGGTAGCACCTTGAGAGGTGTATATATACAAGCACCCATAAAGGTAAGTATGCACTCACCTGAGGAGTGGCAATTCTTCACAAAACCACAGAAACCAAGCCTTTGTGTCCTTGCATATTACAGAAACCTTACACACCCACAGTCACCACCTTCTCCCACCCACGGGTGGGGAAACCCTCACAGCACAGGGCCGTGACACCCATCCTGCAGCAAAGACAGGCAGAGCTAGGCACGGCCCGGAGGGGAGAAGGGCCCCGAAGAGACCTCGGTGCTGGTGAGATGGGACAGGGGTGCTGCCAGCTCTCTGGGGCAGTGATGTGGCCTCCCCAGCCTATGCAGCTGGTGGTACCACTGCCAGCTTGAGCTCTGGGAGAACACAAAAAACACGCCAATTTCTTTGAAAAGCAGCAATGCTGAAATGGACCAGAGCCACCAGCACGCTTCTGCAGAGCAAACCCCAGCCCCGGAGTTCCCTTTTCTGAACCACGGCAGGTTGCTGAGTAAATCCAGCACCTGCTCGGAGCCACGGTGTAGCGAGGCCACCCCCAATTACACGAGGTTTTCCCCAAACTCCTCAGCCCCCCAGCCTGACGCCAGACACCAGGACGTCTCACCCCACGCAGCAGCAGCTCCCCATGGGCTCTCAGCTCCGTGGTTCCTCAGGAGGTTCGTGGAGAAGATGGCAGGCTGGACCACAGCCCCCCCCCATCCCGCCACCATCGCTTCCCCATCCATGCTGTCACAGGCCCTGCCCACGGCCACGCTGCGGTGTGCACGGAGGAGAAGCTGGGATGGCCACAGCAGCATTGGCTTGGGCTTTGTTTCACTTCAGTTTCCCCTCCCCTGCAGAGTTTCTTGGGCTGGTGCAGGTCTGCAAGGGGTCTTCATCTGGCATGCTCGGTGCTGCCCTGAACACCCAGCACGAAGCAGCACGCTGTCCTCTGGTGCCACAGCAGGACACCGAGAAACAACAGAGCTAAACACCACAAAGTAAATAAATGCAAACACATGCGAGTGAGGGCAAGCACTGCTCTTTATTGACCGCGTTACCAAGGGAAGGGGGAGGCTGTGTGAGAGCACCGAGCCCCCCATTGCACGGACCAGGAACACGAGGGCAGCAGCGACTCCACGGCCAGGGTGGCAGCATCTGCAAGGGAGGGCAGAGGAGGCTGAGGGACGGGACGGGATGTGCTAGGTCAGTTGTGGCAGGAAGAGGGGCTCAGGGAACATGTGTGGAGCTGGGTGAAGAGGCCAACTCACCAGAAGGTGCCCTGTTCTTTCCTCCTGTTTATGTCCCGCTTCAGCTGGCAGAGAGAGCACCAGGGGCAGCACAGCACCGAGAAGAAGTCGCCCATGATGGAGCCCTGCCGAGAAGGACCCGTGGTATGACCAACCCCGACCCATGGAGATGTGGCCTTGTGCATCCCCACTGCCCCAGGGACACAGAGTGGAAAGGGGAGCCCAGCACCCGCGCCCGCACTGACCGGGATGTTGTATCGGGTGCGGTACAGGGTCCTCATGGCCACGGTGGTCCCGCAGAGGCAGCACTCGTCCATGTCCCCGGCCACCTGGCAGCCCAGGCAGATGAAGCAGAAGGATCCGCAGATGCCTGCGAGAGACATGGGGACACCCCACGCTCGACACCCGCCCCACGCCCCCCCAGACCCTCCAGCAGCCCGCCCAGAGCCTACTCACAGACGCCGCAGTCGGAGCAGCAGTCCAGCAGCCCCGTCTGCCAATCGCTCCTCTGTGGGGCAGGCGCCGAGCCCCAGGGCTGGGTGGTGACCACATGTCGGGAGGCCATCGGCAGGGCTGCACGGGCAGGTGGTGTCCGGAGAAGGCTGCCCGGGAGGGAGGAAAAGAGGCTGCAGCCCTCACGGCCCCAGCCCGGGGGCCACGTCTCCGGGCATTGCTCCACCAGGGCCTCTCTCTGCCTCTCCCCGTCTAACCCTGCTTCCCCAGGGGGATGGAAGCCAGCACCTTTCCCATCTCCCCCTCCCCTGCTCCAGGCCTAGCCGCCAGCTCCTGCCCCTCCTTGCTCACTCACCTTCCTCGCCAGGCACCCCCTCCTCCTCTTCCTCAGCTCCCCGGCACTACAGGAGGGCACTGTGCACCCACCCTCCCCCAGCAGCACCACATCTCCTCCCCACACCCAGCTGCCCCCCATAACAAGCTCCATAATGAACCCACCTGAGGTCCACAGCCTCCACCCCCTTGGGGCTGCTCCCTATTGCAGGGCTGTGCCCTCAGCTGTAACACCAGTGGGCACCGGGCACGCTGAACACGCAGCCCAGGGACCACCACCCCCTTTCCACATCCAACATGGGATCACCGCAGTTTCCATCACCACCACCTCCGCCCCGATTTCCCACCGTTTCACCCCAAAGCCCCGCCAGCCACACACACCTGCAGAGCCACCCTGCTCGCAGAGCCGTGTGTCCTTTGCCCGCTCCCGTCCCTTATATGCGCTGGGCGCTGCCAGCCTCTGCTCCTCCCGGCCCAGCTGCAGGCTGGCCGCACACTCCCCGCTTGCGCAACGTCCCTGCTGCCGGCCCTCGCCCTTCGTGCCCAGCAGTGGCCTTTGGAGAACGGGAGGCTGCATTTGGACTCCACAAGCCAGCAAGTGCCTGCAGAGACCCACGGGGCAACCCCCCCTCTGAAAGTGCTGGGAGCAGGGGGACGGCCCCTCTCCGCTGCATCCCATCGGGTGACCCCTTTGGGTCAGGAGCATCGTTTCGGAGGGCGAGTCCCATGGGTTCCCAAAAGGGAGAAGCTGCTAGGACCCCAGCACATTCGCTTTTCTCACCAGCCCCACAAAGAGACCCAGAAGCCAGGCCAGGTCTGACACCTCAGCAGACACCCTACACGCACTTAAAATAGCCTATAAAAGGGAAAAGGACCAGAACCCGGGTGGAAACACAGCCCCACGGTACAGAGGGACGATGCAGGGGGGCAATGAGCACGCAGCAGGCAAGGCACACATTGCTCTTTATTGGGCTGCTTGCGAGGGGCTGAGGGCTGCCAGTCACGGGCAGTCCTCAGCCACCATCTTGCGGGGCGCAGGCGGCACGGGCTCCACGGCATCTGTAAGTGAAGGGACGGGAGGTGAGGACGGGCCGCCGGCGGCCTGCTGCGGCCACACATTCATCCCGCTCGGGTCAAGGACGTGCACGATGCCCCCGTGTTGCAGGGAGTAAACGGGTGCTGACCAGAAGATGCCCATCGCCCTCCGCTTGTTGATGTCCCTTTTGATCTGGCACACGGAGCACACGGGACACCACAAGGTGATGCAGTAGTCGGAACAAATGGAGCCCTGCAGGAAAGGCATGCGTTAGGAGCCAGGGCTTCCCCAAAACCACATTTCAGCAAAGAAGAGGTTGGTTGCACTCCACGCTGCGTGTCTTTTCCATCGGGGTTCAGCTCTGACCCCGGAGCAGAGGACATTTTAAAAGTGCATGGTTCAGCAGCTGCGTTGGCTGCAGGACGGGGCCGGCTTGCCAGGGGGAGATAAGATAGGAAGGGACAAGGAACTGCTGACCCCGGAACTCAGTGACTTATCTGCTGGCTTCCCCGCATGAGGCAGGGGGGGAAATCACACACCAAGTCCTTTCACTGCCAGAGGAAGAGATGCTCTGACACATTTACCATGGGCCACATTTCCCTGCCACCCACGCCAAGCTGTTGTCCCGTGCAGCACCACCCTGATGGTTTCAGGGCTCTCCCTGACAGGGACACAGTGGCCAAGCGGTGGCTCTCTGAGCTTCGCTGTTGCCAGAGGCAGGCTGCGAGCCCGGGTGAAGGGTGCTGAGCCAGGGCCGTGGCTGGCCGTGAGGATTGAGAGAAAATTGGGCAGAAAAGGGAGCCCACCACCCGCGCTCGCACTGACCGGGATGTTGTATCGGGTGCGGTACAGGGTCCTCATGGCCACGCTGGTCCCAGCAGAGGCAGCACTCGTTCATGTCCCCGGCCACCTGGCAGCCCAGGCAGGGGTAGCAGAACGTCCCACAGCAGCCTGCAAGGGGGAGAACCACCGTGAGCCCCTGCCAGCCCACCAGCGAGCGGCCCCTGGCCCCGCCGGCACTCACAGACGCCGCAGTCGGTGCAGCAGTCCATCAGCCCCGTCTGCCACATGGCCCTGGACACGTTGGGCCCGGCCACCACGTACTGGGGCTGCAGGGTCACCACGGTGGGAGCGGCCATCGCTGGCTGGGCACGGAGTGGTGAGAGCTGGGGAGGGAAAGGAGGGGGAGAGAGCGGTCAGCGGCACGGCCTCAGGGTGTCAGGGCCGCGGGACCCCCGGCTGCATGACAGGGATCCCTTGGCAGGGCAGCTTGGGGGGCACACGGAGCGTGTAGGAAGCAGCTGTGGCCACACGTTTGCTCCCAGCAGAGCCAGAAATGGAGAAATGTGGCACCATGTCCTAGGTCTGAACCCTGCTCCTTGCTCTCCTGCAGCTCCCGGAGGAAATGAGCCTCAGATATGATAGAAACCAGTCTGGGATTGTGCTGCACGGCGCGCGTTTTGCTTGGATAGCCGCAGAAAATAAGCCGTGCTGCTAGGGAAAATTCATCTCAGCATGCACAGGGAGAGCAAGGGGAAGGAACCGTAAAGGCACTGGGCTCACACATCCTGAGGCTGTTTGCTATAAATTCATTTTCCTTTCCTTGGCTACTGGGCATGGAGAGGGGCGCGGCTTCAGTGAGCAGCCCTACTGACCTCAGCATCCAGAACAGAAACCGAAATGCGCGAGGCAGCGCGGCTGGCGGAGCAGCTGTGAGCCCTCGGAAATGAGCCCAGCAACAGGCAGGTGCCCGCGCAGCCTTGCACTTTTACAGCCCCACATCACTCCCCGTAGCAGGGATCCTCGTGCGCCTTCTCCTCCCCGAGCTGGAACGAGCAATGCAGACACGGCCACAGGAAGATGCTCTCGCCACCAAAGCCATGTCCAACCAAAAAGGGCAGGAAGAGCACAACGAGAACGAGCAGAAACACATTTAAAAAAAAATAAAATTAAAAAAAGCAACAAGCAGCAGCAGCCAGCCTTTGGACAGGAGAGCAGCTTCCTCTCACACGCACTGTGGGGTCTGCCCGAAAATACTTGCAGCTACAAAGCTCAGCATCCCCCACAAGAGGGGCTTGCTCCGAAGCATGTGCTAAGGAAAAAGCAGGGAGCCCGGTTTAATCAGAGAGCAAAGAGTCACACAGATTCCCCTGGTACATTTATACGCTCGTAGAAACAGGAGAAAGTGGCAAGCCAGAAGTGACCTGCCCATAAGGCAGATTTAGCACCTAGCTCTTTAAAAGTGTCCCCTTTTCCCCCAGGTAGGATGTAGCAAAGAGTTCCCATTAAGATTAATCCCCCCTGCATTACTGAGCAGGGGAAAAAAAAAGAATAAAAATAAAACAAAATAAAAGCGTATATCTGTAATTTTTGCCTTGTTATCCAATCCTTCTAGGGCAGGGAGCCTTTCATATTTCCGTGCCACCAGGGAACCAACCTTCTGCGGAGCAGCCTGAGTTGCAGCGGGCGTCCCCGGTGCGTGCGGAGCAGTTGTGAGAACGGCGAGCGTGTGGCTCTGTCTCCTGCAGGCTCTTATTGGCAGCGGTGCCGAGCATGGAGGTGGGAGGTAACGGTGGCGGGGAGCTGGGGGGGGGCCAAGCCCAGGGTGCTTCTTTCCCCTCCCCGTGTGAAACCATAGCCTGCGGCTCGTTAAATCAGAGGCGGCTGCGCAGACCTCGTCCAAGTCCCTGGGAGAGTTTTTTTCCCTGTCTCTTCCCTCAAAACCCAAGGGCGCGCTTCAGGATGGTGTGAGGAGCACCCCGGGCTGGCTTCCCCCAGCTTCTCCCTGCAAACCACCGTGGCCCACAGGCATCATCGGGGTCGCCACACCATGCCCACGATGTTCAAATGGTTACACCAAGCCCAGGCTCTGCGGTCACGAGGAGTGGCTTCATTTAATGGGGTGCACAGAGGGGGCTGCGCTGTGTGAAGCCCACCGGCAGCCTCTGGGGCCAAACAAGGCCTGACGAAGCTGGGAAATTCCCCATCTGTGAAATATTTGGCAGCTGGGGCGGGACACAACGCTGTCCTCCCCACAGGTGGCCACCCAGCGCTGCCCTCAGGCTCCCCCCGGCCTCAGCCCCTGTGCTGTGTTATCCCCAGATAATGTCAAGTCCCATCCTCCACCTCCACGGCCTGGAGAGCAGCCTGGGATGAAAACACACAAACAAAACCAGGAAGGTGCCATGCGATAGCTGCTTTTGCCACAGGGCACGGCTCGGTGATGGTCCCTCGGTTTGGAGGAGCTCCTCACACAGGTTTGTGGTCGGGCATCGCCCGGTTGTTCCCTGCGGCCCCAATTTCAGCTGGGCGTCAGAAACATTGGGGCAGTGCTTTTACACTTTGACCGTGGCACTTGAACACTTTTTATTGTTTTATTTCTTTTGCTAGCTTCCTTCCTGTTTGGCCTGAGCACAACCTCGGGCCTGGGGGCACAGGCATTGTGTTCCCTTACCAGCAGCTCTCAGCAAACCAGAGGTGCTGTGCAGCCCACTCTTTCCTTGCATTTTCCTGCGTAACTCAGGAAAGGCACCTAAAACACCTCACCCTGCTGTACTCCAGGAGCCTTCAGCCCCAGCTCACCCCTGGGGATGCTCCAACACCCCTGGCAAGGAGGCACTTCTCATCCCCAGATCCTAATACCCAGGGCTGGTGTCAAGACCGACCCTGCCACGCTGTCTGTCCCCTGCCCCCTGCACCCCTCCTTGGCTCCACACCCGTGGCACGTGCTTGCCCCAGACAGAGGCAGGGAAAATTCTGGCCTCCTTGGACTGGGAGATGCCTTCTATTGCAAGCAGCGTGTGAATAACAAAGTCCAGGCACTGTCTGCCCTGGCGTGCAGGAGCTGGTGCTGCTCTCCAACGCAGGGAGCGTGCCGGGGACAACCTTTGGGTTGGCAGCCACCCTGTCCTGGCTGCTTTGCTGAGCCACCTCCAGCCCTGGCTCTCAGGAAGCACAGCCGAGCTTCCAGCCCGCAGAGATGTGCTCCTCGTCCATGCCCCTGCAGAGGAACCTTTGTGAAAGAAAGGGGAGAAAGGCAACACCTGACACCCGAGGGAAGACTGCCAGGGAGCAGTGTTTATTTGCGTGAAACCATAACAGCTAACCCTGCTGCTTAGAGATGGGCGTGGGGGAGACTTTTTAAACAAATTGTATTTCAATACAGCTGAGATTGTGTTTGTGAAGCGCAGGAAAGAATACCTTGAGAACAGAAGAGAGATGCACGTATAACTGCCAGCAGATACAAATGGCATTTTAGCCAGCAAAACGCATTTGGAGATGATTTTGGAGAACTCCAACAGAAGACACGCAGTGATTTCTAGGTTTAGGACTGGATTGGTAGTTCAATCTTTACCCTGTGTTGTTACACCTTGTTCTTCTTATTACAAGGCAAATGCTTGCTTGCACCAAGTTGCCACAGGAAGATGGACATGAGACAGTCCACAGGTGCTACAAAATGGGAGCTCTTCTCAAATCCAAGCTACTTGAAGACACGGTAGTATGTTAGAAATAAGTAACTTTTGTCATATTCTCTCTAAGGTACTGCTACAAGTCTGTAAGACGCTTACAGATATTAATTAGACTTGGATATTACTAATAAATGCCTCGTAACCCAGGTTCAACAAGAAGCTGGATGCATTCATTTCTCCCTCTACAGAGTGCAGCTCTGTCACATAACTGTTCAGAAACTTAACTAAGGTTCTTAACTTAAGAAACTTCATCCTTAAAGTGCTGTCCTTTATCTTAGTACCAGTGAAAATGTATAAACCCTGCTTAAGAACTTCCGTGTAAGAACCAAAGAGGCCTCTGAGTGCTTTCAAGGGCTATGGTTGCCAACCTTTTCACATACTTGTACTTCATATGCAGTCAACCTGAACCGTCTTCTTTCTGGCCTGTTCAAAAAATATTTTGTGTCCAATGTTATGTCCAAATAGTGAGAGAAGCCAAAAAGACAATAAACAAAGCGTCACAAAGCACACACAACAAGGAAGAAGTGTGCAGAACCCACCACAGCACAGCTCCAGGAGGGATCTCCTGTGGCCAAAGTCCCTGACCTGCTGTGAGCTGTCTCCTTGGGCTGCCACAGCAACCTCTTCACCCGTCCACCAGCACCAGTCAAGCTGAATTTGACAACCCCTGAACACACAGCTCTGGACTGAAATGTCTCTTAGCCACAGCAGTCTAAATAACTGTACATGAGGCTCAGCTTCAGAGCTAGAGCAGCTCCCCTCTCTGGGTCTCGGCTGAGTTTTGTTTTCTGGGAACAGGCGTGCCTGTCACTCCCTCCACAGCAAATAATCCCACAAAGCGGAGGACACCAGGAGGCAAGGAAAAGTGTAACCAGCAGACAGATTGCATAACCAACCAAGCATAAAATGGTAGAGGGCAGGGAAAGGTACAGAGATCTGTAATCAGCCCGCAGTTGCTATTGTTACTGCTTATAGTCCTCCTCCTAACAAACCAGCTACTCCTGTATCAGCTGAAATAGAAAGAAGAAGCAGAAGGCTAAAAGATTAGAATTAGAAGGAGGAAATGAGATTCACTTGGCAAGATGAGTTCCTACCTTAGAGTCAACCACCAGCATGCAGACACTTGGCATTAGTTCTGGAATGTGCTGGTTTGTTAAGCTGGCAGTATGCATGCAGATTGTTCCCGATAAAGGAGCTCACCTCGGTCTCCATGGGCCGCTCTGCAGCAGCCTGCTCATGAGGAAGAACTGGTGCCAGCAGTCAGACCAAGAACAAAAGGGAGTCTTCAAAACTTTTCCATCGACTTGTTCATATTCTGGACCTCATGGACGGAGACCAGGCTGCACCCAGACACCTCAGGATAAAAGCCGCTATCACAGTTACTTCACACAACAAGCCCCAACCCCAACTGCAATTTCTTCGTGCAATAACTCACAACGCCAAATGTGTACAACCAGATTTTATTTACATGCTGAAATCTTTTTGCATTTTCCCAAGTCCTGTCACTAAGAGACATCTGTCTTGCTCTGTATAAAATGCCAGGCTCGCTTCCTGAGAGCCAGTCAGGAGTTTCCTTGTACTACATAGGACCAACAGAGGAGCTTCACTTGCTTCATTCATGAGTAATCCCAGCTTACATTGTAAGACAGTCAAAAACATGATTTGCTTGGCTTTTTTTTTTTTTTTTTGAGAAAAAAAAGACAATTTTCACCAACTTTTATAAATAAATAGGATAAACCACAAAGAGTCACGTTAAAAGTGTCTTCCCCTCTTGGAGCATATTCATTTGAGCCGGACTAAAACATTAGAATCATTAACAATTTCGACTACCTGCTTTCTAAAGGCTCTTGTACAGTTTTCGACTCTTGTCTTTTACAGAGATTTCCAAGCACGATCCCTACGAAGAGCAGAACCCCTACAGTACGATTTGATGCAAATTTCTTCCAGCAGTCTTCAGGCTTGTCTATGTCCAAAGTGTAAATCTGCAAAAGCACAGTATAAACATTCCAGTATTACTATTTATGGACACGGAAATACTTGACACATCTCAAGAAGACACGAGAAGGGCTGTAATTTCAAAACCTTCAGGTTCTGAGTCCTATCGTTAGCTCCTGAAGAAATGGAATACTCTAGCTGCAAGGGATGGTTCATGACTGGCATCCATGTTTACCTGACAGATTTATTCAACATGCGGCAGAAGAACAAAGGACTGGGCATGGACCTGATTCCTGGAACCTCTCAGTGAATCACAGTATGAACAGTCTAAATACTCCTGGGTGCAGTTGGGTAATAAAAGCTGTAAAAATGTCTAAATGTGTAAAAAGTCTTTTGAAGACCTTCCTCAGCAGAAAGGCGGCTAACTCATCAACAGGAACTTCAATAAAAAAAAATCCAGTACCAGCCTGCACCTTTCATTTGTCTGCTACAAACACCGCCCATGCTTCCCCGAAAACAAGGCAGGGGAGGGAAAGCAGCAGAGCAAGAGGCTGCCCTGTCCTGCCCAGGTGCTGCTGGCTGCATAGCTGCATCTGCCCTGCAAAGAGGAACCCCGACACCTGCGAGCAGCCGCTGTGACTCACAGCTCGAGGCGCCAACAGCACACAGTGCAAGGGCAGAGAGAGACACCTCCCAGAAACTCTGACCCTGCCGTTCATCCCCTCAAGATGTTGAAAGAGAATGCTTTGAACTGAAAGAAATTAAAGCTTCCCTAGGAAACACATTCCTCTGCTGTTTGCACTTGTACAGAGATAAGGGGGCTGGGTTCTGATTAAACTATCTGAAACCTGGCCTGCAAACCCCTAAAACACGATGTTTTTTTTACACCCTTAAAAGCCTGCCTGCCCGTCAGGCATACGGAAGTGAAAACTCTAAATGGATGAGTGAAACCCAACAGCAGCTGAGCCATGAGATGTACCTTCACGGACGTGAAGCATGTAAGGCAGCTTAGTTTTCTGTTCAGGAACTTCTTCAGCAGTACAGGAACTGGACATCTTCATGACCCAAATTCCTCTCTGCCTCAGGCACAAACTAGTTAAATTGAGGAAGGGGCATCTTACACGGCTTATTCAACTTTCTAAACTCAGTCAGTCAGATCTCTGATGTCTTGAACATGAAGATAAGCCTGCAAATGCCTAGGCAGAAGTAATATTAAAACATACACTCAAAGAGAAGCTGCTCTGTGGTATATGGAACAGGGCTGCTCTTACAACTTGGGGAATCGTCACACACTGAAGTTGTGCCAGGGGAGGCTTAAGGTTGGGTATGAGGAAAAATTTCTTTACCGAAAGGGTTGTGAGGCATTGGAACAGGCTGTCCAGGGAAGTGGTTGAGTCACCATCCCTGAAGGTCTTGAAAAGATGTTTAGATGTAGAGCTTAGTGATATGGTTTTGTGGAGGACTTGTTAGTGTTAGGTCAGAGGTTGGACTCAGTGATCTTGGAGGTCTCTTCCAACCTAGACAATTCTGTGATTCTGTGACTCCTTGCCCCTCACATTCTGCCTCCTCAC